CTTGTCCATTTGATGGTTATTTGAATTGTTTCTAGCTTTTTATGAATAAAGTTGCTGGGAACAGTCTCTACATGCCTTTTAGTAGGCACGGCTCCAGTTTTTCTTGGGTTTGTACTAAAGAGTGAACTTGCTGGGGGAAGGTCAGGTGTAGCAGTTACAGTAAATACTAGTTTTCCAATTTACCTCTTACCAGTTCTAGTTACTTCTGATCCTCGCCCGTACTCAGTATTGCCAATCTTTTAAATTTTAGCCAATCTAGTCAGTGTATAGTAGTATCTCATTGTGGTTTTAATTCACATTTCTCTATGGATTAAATTTCTCTAGTGATACTGAGCACCTTTCCACATGCTTATTGGCCATTTGAAAATCCTCTTTTGTGAAGGGCCCGTTCAAGTCCCTTTCCTCTAATGATGATAGAATTCCTTATATGTTCCCATGGGTCTTTATTTTATTTTATTTTTTAGTATATGTTGCAATGTTCTTTTCCCAGTTTGTGACTTATCTTTTCACTTTCCTTTTTAAAAAAAATATATTTTTATTGATTTCAGAGAGGAAGGGAGAGGAAGAGATAGAAACATCAATGATAAGAGGAATCACTGAATCGGCTGCCTCCTGCACGTCGCCTACTGGGGATCAAGCCCACAATCTGGGCATGTGCCCTTGACCGGAATCGAACCTGGGACTCTCCAGTCCGCAGGCTGATGCTCTATCCACTGAGCCAAACCAGTCAGGGCTCTTTCCACTTTCTTAGTTACCTTTAATCAATGACCAGAAGTTCTTACATGGTCTAATTTATCAACCTCTGATGGTTAGTACTTTCTGTTTTATTTTAAAAAAGGTTATGAAAATATTATTTTTTCTAAAAATTTTTACCTTCACAAATATGTTTATAATCCACCTCAAATTAATTTTTCTGAAGGCTGCAAGGTTCAGGTAAAATAGTCACTTGCTCCAATACCATTTATTGAAAATGTCTTTCCCTCATTTAAAGAAGCTTACATAATTTATTTCCAATCATTCTTTTTTTTTAAAATATATGTTTTTTTATTTCAAAGAGGAAGGGAGAGTGAGAGGGAGATAGAAACATCAATGATGAGAGAGAATCACCGATCAGCTGCGTCCTGCATGCCCCCTACTGGGGATCGAGCCTGAAATCCAGGCATGTGCCCTTGACTGGAATCGAACCTGGGACCCTTCAGTCTGCAGGTCGACGCTCTATCCACTGAGCCAAACCGGCCAGGGCTTCAATCATTCTTTTATAATATATTCACTTAAATATTTGCATTGCTTTAGCTGCATCCGGTAAGTTTTGGTATACTGTATTTCATTTTCATTTGGTTTGAAACTTGCTGTTTTCCCTTGTGATTTCTCCTTTGATTCATGGATTATTTAGAAACGTGTCTAAGAGCATAAGGACACTCAGCACAGCTCTGGCAGCCAACTCAGCCTCCTGGGGGATGAGCTGAGGGTGGGTGGAGCGGCTGCGGGCTTTTATCTGTGCACCACCCTGGGAGCTCTGTGGGTGGGTCAACCGTTTCCATAACCAAGAGGTGTGTGGAGACACCTTAGGGCAGCATGTCCAGCGAGTAAAGGGAGGAGGCAGGGAGAAGACTTGCCTCTACACCAGGTCCTGATACAAAGTCTGGCTTTGGGCAGAGTTGGGAGGAGGACCCCTATCCAGGGCTTGGTAAACAGTTTATGCAGGTCCTACTGCCAGCAGGGGAGGGGGCACACTATGAGCTCTTCCTCCCATACAGGGCTGGGGCTTGGTGCCTAGGTAATAGCCATGCCCCAGAGGGGTTATTTTAAGCCAAAAGGTATCCTTTCCAGCTAATGCCTCCAGATGACTGTTTTCCCCATAGGACTCGACCCCCTTCCCAGCTTCTGCTCCCATATCTCTACCTCCCAGGCCTGCTTTTCAGTGAGAGGCACAGCGGATGGGAAAGGGTTTAAAAGCAGAAAGGAGAAAGTCCAGAGAGCCACCGCAGTCCTCTCTGCTCTCTCCAGCTGATCCTGAGCTCACCTTGAACCTGTTGAAAGCCAGGCACCGACTCACCCCTGCGCCCGGCACCCTAGGCAGCATCTCCTTGCCTACGTCCAGAGTTCCTGCAGCCTCTGCTCTTACCTTCATAGACCCTGAATAGTGGGGGTGAGCAGGTTGGGGAGCTCCTGAGTCTCCGGCAGAAAGCGATTTCCAGGTTGAGAATCATTTCCAGGTAGTTCAACAATTCCTCTTGTGCAAATACCTTTGTTCCTGCGGCTTTAGTTAAGCCACTGAACATCCTCAGGGAGTCGGGTTGCTCCCTTATACGGGGATGGATTAGGAACAATGCAGGGGACATCATGGGCACCCCTCCCAGCCCTACAGGGCCATACCTCTGTGGAGCGCTGCTGGGGACTCAAATCGAACTTCTTCAGAAATCCTGTAATACCCAGGGGTCCTCTCATCGCCTGGGTGGGACAAGCGCCTCACCACTTTGTGTGGGGTCCCTGTGAGTGCAGGGGCTAATGTCCTGTTCTGGACAAGGACTCACCCTGAGGCCGAAGGCAGGGTGCTGCAACACCCCCAGAAACAAGATTTCACACAGGAAAGTGGGACCTGGCAGGCAGGAGGAAAGACTGGCCACCCTCTCCATGTTTCTGGGGATTTGGACATTGTGGGTTGTAGATGTCCTCAGAAGGGGCTGGGCTAGGAGTTAGGATGGCCTTTGCCACCTTCAAGGGGCCCATGGATCCAGACTGCAAGCCATAGCTTATCAATCAGAAGAGCTGGGACTATTTGTCTTTGTCATCCTGAGCCTTTTGTAAAGTGTCATCTGAGCACTCTAGCCACAGCTCAGCTGTTCTGGGCCCCCAATAAAGGGCCCATTTCCAGCCCTGAAGGGGGAGAGGGAGAGCGAGTTAGAGCAAGGCTAGGGAGTCTCTGGGCCTGAGCCTCCTTACAGTCTGAAGAAGAGGTGGCCCTGCACCCCACCCCACTCTCCCTGGCTTGACTCCAGCCTACACTTTCATTGGCAACAAGCAAGACCACAAAGCCCAGCTGACCCCAGAATCAGAAGCTTCAGGTCACCATGGCCTTGACCTGGTCTCCGTTTAGATGCCTTGGTACAGTGCTGGTCATTCAGCACGCCCTCCATAAATAGTTCTCGAATGAATGGGAGAATAGCAAGTGCTGGCATTCGTGCAACAAACATGGAGCTCCTGATCACAGTGGGACCCCCTTCAGCTGAGGGTTCAAGACACCAGTCTGAAATAACCCCCATCCATCCTGCTCCCCTCCCCGGATGATGAGGGAACCATACCTCTCCAGGCAACCTCTGCCTTTTGGAAATCTTATAGATGAGCCACAGGGGCAGGGGCAGGGGCAGGGGCAGTGCACTGGATTGGGGACCTGGGTTTCAGAATGAAGCTGGACTGGGGAGAGCCAGTGGGAGTTTAGGGCTCTGCTGCCCCCCGCTGGACCAATCAGGAAACACGCTCTATTTTGCAGGAGGCACAGAGCATCCACACTCTCCCCTTTCTCCTCCCTGAAGCCGGGATCCCTATGTTCGGCGTTCCCAGCCTCACAAATAGGTTCTGCATCCCCCAGGTATCCAAGGTCTCCCACCCAGAACATCCCACCCATTTCTGAAAGTCCTTTGCCAACAAGAATTGTCCTGGGAACACTGGGTCAATTTCTGACCACTAAGACCACTTAGATATTAGCGAGGGAAATGGGCTCCGGAGGAGGGGTCTTTTAAAGACTCCTATGAACATAGGAGGAAAAGTAAATGTAAGGATTGACAAAACCAAAGAAAATAGAAAATGATAGAAACTTAATTATAACAACATTTGATACATCAAGCCAAAGATTGGTTATTTGCAAAAACTAATAAAATTTGATAATCCAATAGAAAATTCACTTACATATATAGATACAGGTAGATATAGTGAGAGAGCTATAACAAGAAACCCATAGGCCGTGTTTTGGGCCAATTCACTGGTGGTGGGAGGTAGATGACTCATGCTGGAGGGCAGTAGATGACACATGCTGGAGGGCAGAGGAGGGTGGGGTGGGAAAGGGCATAAACAAATGTTGATTTCCTTCTGTGGACTCCACTTGGCTTTGTGGGTGGCATGAGTGCTGCTATGTTCTGGGCCTGTGCACACTCACAGCAGTTGGACAGTGGAAGGTGGCTAAGATGTTTGCTGACTGGCTCATGGGCTGACTGAACCAACTCTAGGGGTAGGTGATCCCAGGTGGGAAAAAAGTACTGACTATTTACCAGGCTGGGGCCCTTCCGGAGGGAACCAGGATTGGGACAGAGCCTGTGCCAGTGTTAAGCTGTATAATTAGGCAGCGTGATAAACCACGTGCCAGTTATGGGCCCAGGAAACTTACAATGTCCCTTGCCTGGAATTTCCCCAACTCCTACTCAGGCTTCATGACTGAGTAAAGGTCTCCTCGACTGGGAAGCTTTCTCTAGCTAACTTCCTTCCCCCTCGCTGAGCGAGAGCGGGTGCCATCCTGCCCTTGGGGCATTCTTTTTTTTTTTTAATATATTTTATTAATTTTTTTCAGAGAGGAAGGGAGAGAGATAGAGAGTCAGAAACATCGATGAGAGAGAGAGAGAAACATCGATCAGCTGCCTCCTGCACATCCCCTACTGGGGATGTGCCCACAACCCAGGTACATGCCCTTGACCGGAATCGAACCTGGGACCTTTCAGTCCGCAGGCTGACGCTCTATCCACTGAGCCAAACCGGTTTTGGCGGGGCATTCTTTTATGAAAGCACTTATCCCACTGCATTTAAAATTTTTTCTTTTCTTTTTTTAAAAATATTTTTTTAATTGACTTCAGAGAGGAAGGAAGAGAGAGCTAGAAACATCCATGATGAGAGAGAATCACAGATCGGCTGCCTCCTGCAAGTCCTCCACTGGGGATCGAGCCCACAACCCGGGCATGTGCCCTTGACTGGAATCGAACCTGGGACCCTTCAGTTCGTAGGCCGATGCTCTATCCACTGAGCCAAACCAGCTAGGGCTAATTTTTCTTTTCTTTTAAATTTTCATCATGGCAAATTTCTAACATAAACAAAAGCAGCATAATAGGATAATATAGCCCATGTACCCATCACCCAGTTTCAACAATTACCAACCCATGAACAATTCTGTTTCTTCTATATCACCTCCACTATCCCCCCTACTTTGGATTATTTTGAAGCAAATTCCAGACTTCCTATCATTTTATCAGTGAATACTTCATTATGTTTCTCTGAAAGATGAGTCCTATAAAAAAAGAAAAAGAAAAGAAAGCATAACCATAACACCATGATCACCACTAAAAAAATTTCACAATTCTTCCTTAGTGTCATCAAATATCCAATGTTTATATCTCTCTGATCATCCCACTATGTTTTGATGGTTTTCTTGACTGTCTCTCCCACTGGGCCTGATCAGGGACCCGGCTGCCTGTGTGAGTGCCTCAGTCCTTGTCTATCACTGTTCATGGGGCTGAGAGACCTGTGTGCACACACCCAGCTGACGACAGTCACTGCTCCGTAGGTGAGTAAAGACCCTGAGTGCCTGAGTGGGAGGAGGCCTCGCCCTAGAATATGAAGAACTGTCCTTAGCACGTGTGCTGACCAGGCTCATCGCAACTCAGCCGGGCACCTTTCTAAAATATACACGCAGTCCCTGCTCCCCACCACTGTCTTTTCGGCCAGAATCTCCAAGGATGGGGCCAATGCACAAGAATTTGGGGAACATGCCTCAGGTATATGCATATTTGATGTATTGCCCTTTCTAACACCTAGTGGCCCCCACCAGAATGTTGTCACACATGGGCGCCAGATACCTTCACTCTGCACCACTCTGAGAAGAGAAAGCCCTTGGGTGGGCCACCAGGCCCAGCAGCCTCTTGCAGAGAAAGCTCAGTGTCCAAGGAGGCCTTGACACCAGGTTGGCTTTGTGACAGAGTCACCAAAATAGCCAGCGGAGAAACAGGGACCGGACCTTTGCTGGATTATTCGGGGACCACCTCCTCAGAGAGGCTTTCCCGGAGCCCCCAGCCTCCTCCCCCACCCCCAGCAGCGGTGGGACCCCCTGAGCTCCTAGGACTGTTACCCTGAGCCAAACACAAGTGAGTCCAATGCTAACCTGATCCTAGACCAGACATCAGTGGAAGAAACTGCCACAGGGCCACCCTCTGTGGAGCATCTCTTCCGCATGCAGCCCATACCCCAACACCAATTGTTGGTGTTGGCACCAGGCCAAGGGGCCCCAGATGACAACCTATGATTTCCACCTGCTGCTAAGGGAACTTCCTCAGGCCTTTGCCTGGTCAGAACAGCCTGTGTGAACCTGGGCCACAAACAGCCCCTTCCTCCTCCTCCCGCTGCCTTGGGCCAGCCCATTTTGTACACTGAGGCCTTGAAGCTGATTCAGATTGCATCCCTCTCCCTGAAGGGCAAGTGTGTGAGGGGCGGCAGGGGTCCTGTGTGTCCCACCATCTCCACAAAAGGGCAGTCCTCACCACAGCCTCGTGCTGCTGAGCCCAGACGTGGGCAGAGCCTAACCATGTAGGGAGGAAGGGAGCAACCATTAGCGCTAATGAGGCAGGCGGCTTGAAAGCTTTTTACTTTGAAGCTGCTCGCCCACCCAGGGAACAGACCGTTCTGCTTCCTTGGCTTCCAGGAACCCCAGGCAGAAAGGGGTTTGGGGACAGGAGAAGGGGTGGGGGTCTTGAAAAGGCCTGGAGGGAGAAGAAGGAGAGAGGAAGAGCCAGGGATGGAAGCAGGAGGGGCTGGTGTTGGCTAGGTGGGTTTCTCTCTTCCACGCCCCCCCCCAAAAAAAACCCCCAGGACGCTAGGTCTGCACCCACCTCTGCCTCACTCTGGCCACTGGCCCATCACCCCCTTCAATGCCCTTGACCCAAGTTCCTGGAAGCAAAGCAAACAACATGCCCTACAGTGTCTGATTGAGCATCTCCGGGCCCACAAATTAAATTAAGCTCTCAGGGCTGCCTGCCTTGTTACTGCTAATGGCTCCAGCCTGCCCCCAACGGGTCCCTGTCCTGTCAAAATTCGGGGGCCCTGGGCACCCTATCTTGTTCCCAAACTTTAATTGGCTCCTGGAGACCTCACACACAATTGGAGGTGGTCACCCTCTTACAGAGCACCCAAAAACTCAGGTTTCAGGGAGAGAGGCTTAAACTGTACGTCCCCTCTTCTGGGGAAGGCCCCTCATATCCTGGCTTCAGGGAATAGTCACGTGTGGGCCCTTCATTAGACTCTGCTATATAAGCGGAGGGCACAAGGTGGCCAGGAATGCTCGGGCAAGGATCCAGCAAGCAGAAGTAAGTCTCAGGCTGGGCAGAGATTCCTATTCTCTGGGGCCTCTCTTGGGGGTAGGGCACCCAGAGGGTGCATCCAGGGATGAGGACGGACTAAGTTTGTTGGGTCTTCCTGCCGAGCCAGGCCATGCTGACTGCAATACTGAGCTGTGCCCTGCTGCTGGCACTGCCTGCCATGGAGGGGGCCCAGATGAGCTTGGCACCCCTGGAGGGCATCAGAAGGCCTGACGAGGCCCTGTTCTCAGAGCTGTCAGGTCAGTGTGGGCAGGGGTGGGTCTGGGTGGGGCCTGGATACCCTCTGGCCACAAACTATTCAGTCTGGTAGGAGCCCTCCTTCTCTCTTCCCAACCCCAGGCCTGGGAAGTGGGCGTTCTATGCATGGCAGGGGGTGGGGGGACTTTGCTCTCACATCATCTGTCACAGATCTGGGCCTGAGGCGTGAGCTGAAGAGGACAGCTGTAGAACAGGCAGAAGAGGCTCTGCTGCAGGAGGCCAAGGACTTGGCAGAGGTAACTGACTGTTCAGGGCAAGGGGTGAGGCTACAGGCCTTGGGAGGGCACATTGGGCATGGTTCCCACTCTCCATTACCTGACACTCCCCGCCCGCCTTTACCTGGAGCAACCTTGCAGACCCCCATGCTCCACTGCCATCCCACTTGCATGGGGCAGTGAGGTCCCTGGACTTGCCTTCAGAGGCTCATGCTCTCGCATCCCTGCAGGCGCTAGATCCGGAAGAACGGGAGCCACGCTCCCTGCGTCGCTGTGTGCGGCTGCACGAGTCCTGTCTGGGACACCAAGTACCGTGCTGTGACCCATGTGCCACGTGCTACTGCCGGTTCTTCAACGCCTTCTGCTACTGCCGCAAGCTGGGTACTGCCATGAACCCCTGCAGCCGCACCTAACTGGTCAACGTCAGGGTCGGGGCTGTGATGGGGTGGGGGTGGGGGTGGGGGCGTGAATAAAGCTTGGGACCAACCCCAAGGCTGTGACATTATTTCGAACGTGGCCTTTGGAGCGGGTAGGTCATGGCAGGCCGCCAAGTCTAGAGACCTCATACCTACCCCAGGGCCTGTGTTACCCCATCATCTGAGTTACTTATACGCACACTCTTAGGGCACCAGGCGCCGTTGGGGAAGCAGAGGAGAGCCGCTCTTCAGCCCTCGAGAATCTTAGGGGAAGAGGGGCAGGGGGCATGGCGCGGGAGAGGGGCTGTGACTTCTGGCGAACAAGCATTAGGTTCCAGGACCTGCTTGCAGCTAACTCGATGTGAGACCCCCAGCGAAGGCCGCCCTTGCCATACCTGTTCCCCTCGGGGGAAGGCGGACTCCACAGTCTGGAATATTTCCAAGCATAAATAGCTCTCATCTTCACTCCGCACGCCCTCATAGCGCCAGATACACCAGACCGGGGAAAGCTCGGGGACCCGATTCAATTTCCACGGCACGGGCACCACCGCGCGGCCGGTCTTAGACACTCCAAGCGGCTCCAGCCGGGAGCCAGAAGCGCTCTTTCCCTCTGCGCGCAGGCGCCAGAGGGCCGTCCCAGCCCGCACCTGCGCAGTGCGTCCGCTAGAAGCCACCAGGAAGAAGGGCACCACTCAGAACCCCGCCTCGCGGTGGTCACGTGACCCTCTTTGCGTGTCACCTGATGCGCCTGACAGTACGCTGCGGGCGCCGAGTCAGCTGATCTTGGAGTTGCGCTGCTTGCCTGCGGGTCGGGCTTCTCCGGTCCCTCAGCAGCCATGTCGTACTTCCCGGAGCTATACTTCAATGTGGACAATGGCTACTTGGAGGGACTGGTGCGCGGCCTGAAGGCCGGGGTGCTCAGCCAGGCGGACTACCTCAACCTGGTGCAGTGCGAGACGCTCGAGGGTGAGCCGCGGCGGGCTGGGGTGCCCGGCCTTGAAAGGCCGGCGAGGAGGCTAGCGAGGGCCTGAGGGTTCCGAGTTCTGTGCGGGGAAGCCGATGGCAGGGGTTCTAGAAGCGCCTGAGAGGCTTCGTTCGGAATCGGGGGCTGATGGCGGGGTCGCTGGAAGGGGATCTACCTCCAGCTGCGGCTCGGCTCAGGCCTAAACGCAAACAAAGCTTTAAAACCTCAGTGGTTCGCCTCTGCTGGGGCCGTCTCTTCCCCGGTTATGGCCCCCATGTAGTTTGGAAGCGAGGGTCTCTAGGGAGTGAGTGGTTGGTCGGTGGGAGATGTGCCCATACAAGTCTTGTTACCCTGACGTAGCCAGAGTGAGCTGTCCCGTGGCAACGGAAAAGCCCCCCACTTCCCTTGTAACACGTACACCAGGGCTTTGGGGGATCATTGTGTCTTCTCCTTGTCCGAGGGGTGAACCTTCCTGGGGAATTGCTGAGGCTGCTTAGAGTTTCCCCCCATCGCGGAACCACTGGCTGAGCAGTCTTCTGAAGGCAGTGTTTGAGAGAGCAAGGTGTGGCCCTGCAAATCAGGGAAGTCCTTGGCCAATAAATGGATTTGGCCAATAAATCAAAAAACCTCAGCGAAAAGGATGCTTGTTGAGATAGGGTTTTCCTAGCACAAAAATTGTGAGAGAGTCCGAGTTCCCTTTTCCTTTCAGCCCACGCAGCTTCAACGTGGAATGGACCCCCGAGGCACAGTTGCATCAAATTTACTGAATGAGAGATGCCCCTGATTCCAGTCTTTGCCTCCTCTCCCTCCTCCCAGGTGGTAGTGAAGGACACAGTGGCTGGGATGTAATCCCCATCCCAGACCCCCAAGTTTACTGTTGAGCTAAGTCTCATGGTAGCTAGAAGGGGAAGATGACCCGATGATTCACCCTTTGAGAAAAATTTCAAATAAAATATGTATTGAGGTTAAAAGTGAGCTCAATGAAAACCCCCAGTTTTTGTTTATCTTGCAATAATGCAAAAACATACCTTTAATTTTTAAAACTTCCTGAAGTTAAAATACAATTGTGGACTTTGTGGTTTTAGCATAAGTGTACAAAAAAAGGTTGTTCACCTCCCTTATGGGAGTGGAAGTGAGGAAGGAGAGGAGAGCATTTAGGGTGCTGGGTTGTAGGAGCCTACCAGCAACCTAATTCTCCTCACTGTTGGAAAAGGAGAAACAGAGGGGCTCTCTCTGGGGCAGGGTCTGACACACAGCTGATACTTAATGTGAGTTTTGTGGACTGACTGGCACTGGAGGAAGATCTTTGCTTAGATCTGAAGGTGAACTCCATTGATTATTAATTGACATTTGGGAAACTTGTTTCTCTCAAGGCTTTCCTCATGCTGCTGACTCCTCCTTAACCCTACCCGTCCCCCAGCTTCTGAGGCCACAGGGTTCCCATCTTCCCAGCAAGACCCTACGCCATCCTCCACAAACATATTAGGCCATTCTTCCTATAATAGTGCTTGGGACATAGCCCCCTTGTGGACCACAATACAGACTTTTAGCATGACTTTCAGGGATTCCCTTGCTCTTTCACACATATTACTTACCTTCACACAAGCCATGCCCCCAGCTCTTGGTGCACATAGTGTGGTGGACTTCGGAGTTAGACAAATCTGAGTTTGAATCCCAGCTCTGCCGATGACTGGACTACCTTGGACAAGTTATTTAACCCCTCTGGACCTCGGGTTCTTCATCTAATATATTAACAGTACCTATCTCAGAAGGTTGTGAAATGTCAACAAACTATTATGTGTGCAATACTTAGCCCAGCACCAAGCACAGAGTAAGTGCTGGGTAAATGGGAGTTCTTGTTTTCAGTACAGTTTGCACCTGCCATCCCTCTGCATCCTTTTTTTTTTAAAAACAAAAATATATTTCCATAGATTTTTAGAGAGAGGGATAGAGAGATAGAGAACATCAATGAGAGAAACATTGATCAGCTGCCTCCTGCACGCCCCCTACTGGGGATTGAGCTCACAACCCGGGCATGTGCCCTGACCGAGAATCGGACTATGACCTTCTGGTTCATGGGCCAATGCTTAACCACTGAGCCACATCGACTGGGTTCTGCTTCCTTCTTGTCCCCATGAAGCCCTGTGACTCCCACCTTTTAAGGCCCAACCCCAGTAGCACCCCATCATAGAACTTCTCTGTGGCCTTGCTAGCCTAGAATGTTGTTCCCTCTACCCAATTACAGCTCCTGTTTGTGCTGCTTCCCTAGATGTTTCTTGAAATAGAGTTTGGGATTTTGGGGACCTTCTATGATGAGGACTTTCAGAGGCTGAGGATAACCAGAAGCAGGAAGAAGTGATCATAAACTCCAATTTGCCCTCTACAGAAAGGCCTCCTCTGCTTCTAAAGGTGACAGCAGAGGCCTGGCCTCCAGGTCTTTGTTGTGGATGTTTTTGCCTCCCTATCCCCAGGGGAAGGGGGAGGAAGATGGGAAGGGGACACCAAGGAAGCCTGTGGTGCCTAATGAGGTCTGTAGCAGTATCCCAAGGTGTTAATTAAATTCCACATATGAGTGAGATCATGTGATACTTGTCTTTCTCTGACTGGCTTATTTTGCTTAGCATAATACTCTCCAGGTCCCTTCATGCTGTCTCAAAGTCAAGTCTTTTAATATATAGGTTCTCTGTCTCTCTTAGTTTTTCTTTTATTTATTGAAGAAGCCTGGCTATTTAATTTGTAGATTTTCCCTCCATCTCAATTTTGCTGATTACCCCTGCTGTCTAGTTTAATAGGTTCTCCTGTCCCTTGTTTTTCCTGTAAATTGGTGGTTAGATACAGAGGCTTGATTATATTTAAAAAATTTTTTTAATGTAGCATTTTTTAACATGAACCAGGGAAAGCGCTTCTTTTTAAAAAAATATATATTTTATTTTTATTGATTTCAGAGAGGAAGGGAAAGGGAGAGATAGAAACATCAATGATGAGAGTGATTCATTGATTGGCTGCTTCCTGCATGCCGAGCCCGCAGCCCGGGCAAGTGCCTTTGACTGGAATCAAACCAGGGACCCGTCATTGTGCAGGCCGTCGCTCTGGCCACTGAGCCAAACCGGGCAGGGCAATATATTTGATTTTTATTATTTTATTTTTTTAAAAAATATATTTTATTGATTTTTTTACAGAGAGGAAGGGAGAGGGATAGAGAGTTAGAAACATCGATGAGAGAGAATCATCAATCAGCTGCCTCCTGCACACCTACTGGGGATGTGCCCGCAACCAAGGTACATGCCCTTGACCGGAATCGAACCTGGGACCCTTGAGTCTGCAGGCCGATGTTCTATCCACTGAGCCAAACCGGTCAGGGCAATATATTTGATTTTAAAAAGAATATTTAAGAAGAAATATTTGTACTTCCATTGGGAGGCACAAGATACCTAGTTGTTTCTCTTTTTGTGACATAAGGAATCATTGATATTTATCGCCTAGAATAATTATTTCAGTAGGGCTTGCAAAATGGTGATATTCTGTGTTTCCTTCTGCAATTGCTAGTTTGAATACCTTTATACCTGGAAACTTTCAGTAATCACCTACGTGGTTACTCTGAAATTCAGTCTAGTTAGGAGAGGCAGGATAAATGCTTGATTGTTTCTCATATTTACCAGCTTTCAAAATAATGAGTTTGTTTTCTAACATTCTCCAAAGATGCTTATGAGGTTTATTTGCTCTCCTTTTTGTTTTAGTATCATAACACAGTATGGATGTTAATATATTTGTTGTGGTGTTCAAATTGTCCCTTGGCCATGGGAGCTTATTCAATAGCCTGCCAAGTCCTTTGGATACAACTTTGTAGACCAAGCATGTCAAACTCGGGGCCTGCCAGCCGCGAGTTTGACATGCTTGTTGTACACTTTGAGGGTTTCCCTATTTCTGGATGACAATATGTTCTAATCTTATTTTGTACATTTCCTGAACCAGACCTAGAGTCATCATTTCTCTTAGGGGGCCTGGCTCTTTTTATTGAAAACTGATATTTAGAGACCACAATCTGAGTCCAGAGGGTTCTCACTGCTACTGGGTTGGTCATTATTTCTAGGATTTTTCTATGGATTAGCTCTTTTATTACTCAGAACTGTGGACATACAGAAAAGCATACAGCTTGCTGGATTATGCAGCCACAACTCAGGTGATGGTTCCAGATTTGGAGTGGAGGCACTGCCTGACACTTGGGCCAGTCAGGACATCTCCTTCCTGTTCTCAAGAAACATGACTAACATTCAGGAAGGGGAGAGCCCGTGAG